TTGTTTGTTATTTTGGCAAGCTACAAAGTTATTATCCACTTTGAACAAGATTTAGTTGTATCGATATTTATTTATAGCACTGATGAATATTTATGATCAATGTACAGGTGCTTCACATTTGGATAAAAACACCTCAAAACACATAGTCAATATTTCTTCAAATCAGTGAACAATGTATCTGATGAATAGGAATAAAATTATTGAAAATCACATGTAAGTATTAACTTACTGTTATTTAAAAACTTGCTAATAAATAAATAACTAGCATAATATATCATAAGGCACATGATAAAATATAAATTATGATCAATATATGGTTCAGGGATATCTCATTTTGACAGCTATCAGATTCAAGCCAAAAAGTTCACAGAGTTAGGTATAGTCACATTTATATAATGAAAGGTGTTAATCTCAACAAAATGGCAAGTTTCCATTCATTTTCTGCAAACAAATGGTAGTTAAGTATTTGAAATATAAATCCTGACAGATGGAATGAAAATTTGTTGGAACAGATGGATAAAAGAGCTGGCACAACCAATGATCTTCTATAAAATATAAAAGTTTTCAAAATTTCTAAAAGTTTAGCTCAACAGGGGTGGATCAAGAACTTTCACTAAGCTGGGACTGTTTTAAAGTTTATTCTCTAGAGGGTATGAGAGTACATTAACATGAATAATTTACAAAAAACATATATGAGGAGAAACATCTTAACTACCTAACTGATATTGTTACAGCATTTATACAACAAAATACCATTTTTATAAACTGAGTTTTTTTTCAGACATACAACCACTTCTAATATCTTAAATAACAGATACAACAGAATTACTTTGATATGCAGTTTCTGATTAAATAACCATTCTACTGAATTTTGTCAAGATAGCACCTACAAATTTGCTAGGATGTTTCATTTTACTTGGTTTCTTATGATTAAGAACAGTTTCTAAATTGAACACACTAGCATTGTTTTTGCTTTTAAAGCCTAAGAATGTTTTTTTGTCCTCAATAAAATGAGGACACTTAACTAAGTAATGGAATTCATCACACACTTCATTTTGATTACACAAATTACATAATAATTCCCATAGACTAACAACTGAAAACTGATTACTGTTGACAGGCAAAAAAAGATTCCTACAACAGAATGTGATTAAACTAGATCTAGGTTTGTAATAATTTTCAATTTTACATTCTTCTTTAAACATTCTGTATAGAACACACTGACTATTTTGGTACAGTTGAGCATTCCAGTCTTGTACATTTATATCATTAAATCTTTGTTTTATTGTTTTTTTTATGTAAATAGATGAATATCCACCACCTTTATTTATCCATATATTATTCAGACCAGACTGATTAAATGTATCCTCCATCATACTTACCAATTTGACTTGAAAGGGTCATTTGGGTTTGCATGTCTTATGTTCCAAATAATATTGCAGAGTGTAAAAATATCAAAAATTTAATAATAGTGCATGTTGGAAAAATTCAGACTTCAGATTTAATGATAGTACAGGTCAAATCATAATATGAAATTGTGTTTTTCATTAAAATGATTCATTTTAGAGAAGCTTGCAGTAACTCATCTTTTCCAGTGGCCTTTTGACCTCACCCTGGAAACTTAATATATTTTAGGTGAAACAAAGTCATTTTGTTGCTGTTGTCTTTGTCCATTTTTATAATTATAACAAATAATATATTTTCAAACAAAAAAATACCCAACAGAAAAATGCCACAAACAAGATAATTAAACAATTAATGAATTAAATTTATCAATTTATACATCAAAACAGCAAACATGATGCAAATGAAAAAAAAATCTCAAGTATTATGACTGAAAATCATCTGATATAAAGAATAATAAAAAATAAATATCTTGAACAGATACCTAATGTATTTAATAGATGTACAATGAAGTATACTGGAGAGAGACAGAGACCTTCTTATCATTGTAATGCAAGGAAACTTTGAAGAAAAGTTATTTGCTACCAAAATAATGTGATATAATTTGGAGTAACCATTTACAACAATCTGATATAACTAAGTGTTATTCATCTTCAATAAAATGCATTTTTAAATCTTAACATTGCATATTAATACAAAAAATGCTAAAATAAAAGTAATGTATTACTGAATATCTTATCAGATTTTAAAACAAAGAGGGCTCATCTGACTGGAGGCACAAGGAATTCAATACAAAATATAAAGTACTAACTACTAAGCAGAGTGACAAATTCTATAGACGCAAACAAAATCTGGAGCAAAGGTAACAATAATGCCTATGATTTTACTTATTACTGCTGCAAGAAACAAATTAAATGCATTTGTTATTAATACCCACTTAAATGATCTGAGTTTTAAGCAGCATGTGCCCACCACCCAAAGGAAAGGTGAACTTTAGAACCAAATATTTCTAGTAGTATTTCTTGCCATTTGTACAGCTCTTCTAATCAAAAGAACTTGCATCTTCCAGGGAAGAAAACATTTCCCTAACAACCTTAGATAGAAATCCTTCTGTGGACTTTTGCTTTACATGCTTCTATTGCCATTGGTCCCAGTGCATTGATGAAGATGAAACACTATCATCATACTGTGCTTTATATTTAGTACACAGCTCTCCCAGTTTCTCCTTGTCATATAATGCATATTTTGATGAAATAGGATCAGCCCTCATTAGTTGTGTTTACAGCACTAGGCTAACAGACAATGAAAAGCCAAAAAGGGAAGTAAGAGAACTTCTGTCTGGAAAACGAAACCAGCGGGTCACACCAAAAAAAAAAAACAAACAAATTGCATGGGCCTAGAGTGTGCAAATTTTTAGTCTGGAATATTAGTCAGGGAAATCCCCTTCAGTAGGCCTACTTGCATAGTGCATTGCATTTGTTAAAAATAGTGAAAACTTTTGCACAATCTAACGTTTATGAAATGTATACCAGTTATAAGCTTATCTATTGGCAAAAGTGTGAGAAAAAGTTATGTGCAGTAAAAATATGTGACCCAAGCTCAATTGACTTGCCATAGCACCAAGGAAAGCTGATTGGCTGGTCAATAATTGGTAGTCCTTGGTCTAATGCCAAAGAGATAAATATTCATTGAGCATAGAGGGGTTGTCATAATTGGGGTACAAGTACCCACCCTGATCAGCTGACCTGTTACTCGGTAAACCTCGATGTAATGAATATATGCATTGCACATAGGGAGGCTAACAGGTTAGAGAGTTCCACTGTGACAGCAAGTCAACTGAGATCATCATTGACACAGCATGAACTGAAAGTGAAGTGACAAAATGCAGACAGGATGTGTAAATTAAGCCAATAGTAAATAGAACTAAGCATAGACTGAAAGTGAAGTGAGACTAAGCCAATAATAAACAGAACTAAGCATAGACTTGAATGTCATTAAAATTTATACCATTATCCTAATAATAGTATCCAAAAATTTATTTGACTAACAATTTTCAATGTCAAAAAAAAAAAAATCATGGAAACTCAAATAAGTATCATGTAGGGCTGGAAACTTCTCCAATATTAATAATCATACTATATAATTATAGCTAGGATGATTTGAGTTGTGGGTGGTAAAAACCACTACTGTCCATAGATGCACGTGCCTGTGGCCGCCACCATCATATTACTTCACTCGGCCAGTTAGAAAAAAAAGATATTATTCTCATATTTATAATTTTAATGACTTTGGAAATTTGTGAATTCCTTTGGAAAGTGATAAAACACTTCACTTGAGCATTCATTAGGCAAACACATTATAAGGTATACATGTCTAAAACAAAACAGATGGAGACAAATTTTACTCCAGGCTGAGTTTTATTTTTCTGATTGATCTATCTTTAACAGCAGGTAATTGATACAAATTAGTCACAATGATATTAAAAAATGTTTTTATGCAAAAAATACATTGATATCTTTTTATATTTTAGACATCTTTGAAATTTTGAAAATATTTTTACACACCACAAACTTTTACTGGAAAGAAAACAGGCTTTATATGGTATCCACTGTGAATGATATTGTCTGATGTGCCATGCTAAGTCCAAGTAAATTAGCATGGTGTGGGTCATTTGTTCAGTTTCATGTGCAAGTTTTTTGCCATGAAATTTTCTTGAAAAGTAGTGCAAAGGTTATTTGCTTCATGACTTTTCAGGAAAAATATTTGTTTCTAACAAGCTAATTGCAAAGTAAACTGTACTGTGGCATCAACAAAAAAATTTTCATGCTTATGATGAACTTCTCTGTTGTATTTAGTGCCGGGCAGGTAGAACAAGTCCTTGGCATCCCTGCCCGCCCTATCTACAACCCTGTACAAATAAATGACAATTTTCTGTTTATCATTGATTATTCAATACTTTGTTTTACAGCAGTAATGAATTCTTGGGTACCTGTTTCACCATAAACTATGCAAGCTGCTGCATAACTTGCAACATGTAATGCATTTTTTTAGAAATTTTCTACAAAAAAAAAATACAATTTGAGTTAAATCTTCAAAATCCCATATTTCACAGCCATACAGAAATACCAAAGGAATTGGTGTATGAAAAACAGCATATACACTCTAAAATAATGCACGCTTTTCTTAATATTTCTCTTCATTGTGTAGTCGCTAACGGCACATTCGTCTGTAACTTGTAAGTGTAACTGTAAAGTGTAATTTGTGAAACGGGCATCTGAATAATCCAAAAACAAAATAATTTGTTATATACTCTTATTATACTGATTATGCAAAGTAAAAATAAAACTAAGAATTTTTTTTAATTTAAGTAAAAATCTCAATTATTTTAGGCATAATCAAATATCCAATTTTGACTGCAACTTGCAAGTTATTTAATTATTTATAGACTTGATCGAACTACACATTTTAGTTTTACGTCAAAAACAATAACATTCTAATTGTCTTCTACTTCCTTAATTCTCTGTAACCGAACATATTGAATTTTGTTTTATGAAAATATTATACAAATATTAATAGTCTATAAATTCATGGTTAACCTTTCAAGTCGCTTTACCGCTCCTGCGTTGAATTTCATAGAAGTACCTTCCTCCATCCTTAACAATGTTATTGTTAGCATTCTTAACTCCTACACTATCGATGCGGCCAAACGATTACAGAGCCCTCTATGTTAAAGTCAAAAGGCTAGTTACTTTTTAATTAAGAGATCGATAGCGGTTTTCAATGAATTACCAAAGTAATAAATATCGATAATAACATATTTTAGAATGGGGTATGATATTTGAGGGACGATAAAGGAATGTTCATATCTGAAGATTTAAGTAAGAATCCTTATCTTTAACAGTTGATAGATGGAAATAAGACATCAAACAAAATGATTGCATTAATTCTGAGCTTGTTAAGAAAAAAATTGGCAAGTTTAAAGAACGATAAAGATCCTGGGCCAGATGATATTCCCCAAGGGTTTTGAAGGATGTTAAGGATTGAATATGTGAGCCAATTGCTATTATTTTTTGTAAGTCCTTAAATAGTAAGCAAGCGCCAGAGGATTGGAAGTTGGTTAATGTTACTCCTCTTTTCAAGGGAGGGGGATACAAATTGTCCCAGTCTGATAAAAAATGCTTTGCAAAGTCATTTCATAAAGTTCAGAATTTTATTGGATAGCTGACATGGTCTCACTGAGGGGAAAATCTTGCCTTACAATTTTTTGACATTTATTGAAAATATTACTGCTTATATAGATTAGGGTGAGGGTGTAGATTTGGTGTATCTAGATTTTCAGAAAGCATTTAATCA